TAAAGCCTAATCTAGGTGATCAATCTAAATCCAACTCAACACATCATGGTTAATTATTCAAAATAACACAAGAAATTCCAAAAAGATAATAAAATCATCAACCATATAAATCAATCAAACATCATCAAGTACGTAGGGTTTGACTTCCCCGGAACTAGAAATAAAATTTAAACTAACATAATGAATAAAAATAAAAATATAAAAGAGAGAGATTAATTATCTCCCTCGTGTGCGGGTGCGGCCTCCCTCCGCGATCTATCGGCTTCCTCGTCGGTCTGCTCTCTGTTCGCGTATCTGTCCTGCTCCCTTTTCTTTTCTCTTGATGTCTGGCGGCTCTCTGTCCGTGAATAATGTTCCCTTTTCCAAGTCTCTTGCAAATAAATCAATAAAAGGGTGGGCCCCTGATGCCCTCCAAATTTTCTTCCAGGCCTGCGTGACTCTCTCATGTGATGGCAAAGATAAGACCCACTTATTCCATTAATTTGCTAATGTAAGGCCATGGGTCTTTATTTAAATAATAATAACTGGGCCTAAAACTGAAAAGGTCTTGAGCCAGTATTGGACTGGTATGGGGTGCCTGGGCGGAGTATGGGGCTCCCCCGTATTGCCTACTTCAATCTTCTTTCAACATCTCGTCATCCATAAAAATACTCTAATATCCTGAAAGTAAAACATAAAAAATATCAAAGCACTATAATCCATCTAATAAATAAATAAGTCGAAAAATATAAATGTGCAATAAATTTAAGCATATAAAAATACGCTAATAAATATATAAAATACACACTTTTCCCGACTAATCAGGAGCCCCGGTTCTCCTCGCCGCTGCAAAGTCTGCTCGGGAATTTTGACTCGAAGGTCGCGATTCAGGACTAAATTGCTGAGGAGATTTGGTGAAATTTTTTTGGGAGATGCGGCTGAGGGCTATTGCTGCTTAAATAGGGAAGGATTAGGGCTGGCTGGTGGTGGCTGAAATGGTTGGAGTAATTGGCCGAAATTGGGGGAGTTCGCCAGATTTTACGGAGGCTGTAACGGCTCTTTGACTGCGCGAATGGCGAGAAGAGGGAGATGGATGCTGCGATCAATTTCTTGAGGCGATGGAGTTGAATAGGCCGGTCATAATGGAGGTTTGGGCCGAGAATTTGGGCTGCGAGATTGGAGCTTCTTAACTAAATCAAATGGTCTCATGGTCTTGTGGGTTTGGGAGATGGACTTGATAATGTTCTTGGGTCCAAAAGAAAAATATCCACACACACACACACACACACACACACACACACACACACATATATATATATATATATATATATATATATACTTAAGAAATTTCTGGACATTTAAGAACAATTAGTACAAATAGTATACTAAAAAAATTAATCTAACACTTAGCACAAGAATTCTAATAATAAGCACAAAATCACATAATCATGAAAACACCAAAATCAAATAATCACTTAGAAAAATAAATCACATAAGCACATAATTCTCTTAAGAAAATAATTCACATAATCACATAATTCAATTAGGAAAAAATACAATCAAATATTCATTTACGAACATTTAGGGAAAAATATAAGAACACTTAGCAAGAAGGCACAAAATAACATTTAGGCAAATTGGGTACAACCAAACACATAGACACATAAATGAAATTAAGCACTTAAGAAAACAAAATTGACACTTAGCACACATAACACTTATGCACAAAAAAAATACAATTAGGAATACAATTCACACTTAGCACTTATTACAACAAAATAAAAGCACAGAGGAAGAAATAGGAATCGAGTTTTAAACAAAGTCGAGCAGTGGAACGAAATGAAATGCTAAGCTTATTGAAAGAAAACGAGGCGCTACACATACCAATCGTTCTTTTGAGCCCTAACCAATTAGCTTTCTTGTCGTCGTGAACTTTTCCGAAGACATTACAGTTGCACTCCTCCCACTCAGATGAACATCTTTCTCTTCTATATCAATAATTAAATTTTTAGCCTCCGAAATAGAAACTTTCCCCAATCGAAGCCCTAGATCTTCCTCCATAACACCTACCCACACCAGACTTCTCCTCCTTGCGCCCCAAGATTTGGATATCACAAAATTGTTCTTGAGTTTCCGTTCTACGCTTTTCCCCTTCTGGAATCAGATCCAATCTCTTTGCCTTAGCACTATGAATATATAATTTCAACTTAGCTAAGCCTTTCATTGTTTCCTCACCTGAGCTTCCTTGAATTGAAGAAGAGGACTCTACTATGCATAGACTCCTTGAAGTTATCCCGTTTTCACGCTCCTGAGAATTGATGTTGGGATCTATCTCCCTTACTGGCTCGGGATCATTCTGCATATGCCTGACGGTCTCTGCCTTGAGGATCTACTTTTAGTATTTCGCATAATATTCTCATTAGGCCGATTTTCAGATGGATCACAATTATTGCTAGTAAGAGGAGATCTATGAACACATACCCCTCTGATGCTCTTAGCCATTTTCCATATTGGCCTTCCCTTAGTTCTTGATCCCCTTTCTCCTTAATTTTCTTATTAAAATGCCGATCAAGATGTCCAAGCCTCCCGCAATAGAAACAATGACTTCCAACTTTCTCACATTTAAATTGGACTTTTACTGTCTGCATCCCCAATCTGATAGATGACCACTGAGGCAAAGCCTCGTTTAAATCAAGAACTACTTAGATCCTGATAACCCAGTCTCCTTGAAATCTTGCCCAAGTTGGGTTAACATTTCTGACTCCTTTGAGAGCTCCCGATAGTTTCAAACCCACCTTCGTACTGAGCAAAATAATTGGCACACTATGAACTTCGACCTATATCAGAAGCTTTCTGAACTTCTCTTGGCTGTTAGAGAGTCCTTCGGTTCATTCATGCATTATAAGGTGTTGATTCTCAAACATCCAGGTCCTACCTAGATCAATTTGTTTGAGGGTTTCTATATTCGGGAAAATGAATTGAAAATGGTTCAGAGATTGTTCCCTAACTTCAAGTGTATCGTGTAATTTCCAGAGCATACCCATCGTTCTTTTGAGCCCTAACCAATTAGCTTTCTTGTCGCCGTGAACGTTTCTGAAAGGACTACGGTTGCACTTCTCCGCACTGAGACGAACGTCTTCCTCTTCTATTTCAATAATTAAATTTTCAGCCTCCAAAATAGACACTTTCCCCAATCATTGTCCTAGATCTTCCTCCATAACACCTACCCACACCACACTTCGCCTCCCTGCACCCCAAGATTCGGATATCCCCCTCCCCCTCCCCAAGAACCTTCAATAATGAAGAAAAGCCTCCCATCGGAGATCAAACTCTCAGAAGAAGAAACGCTCACTCCCAAGGTGAGAGAAAAATTCTAACACATCACAATTAAAAAATACTGTCCTACCAAAACAAACTTGTTTGAATACAAGAAGGTAATAAGCTAACCAGAAAAACTATAATCTAGCTTATATGCATACCAAACACAGTTTTAACCTTTTTTTAACTAAACAGGGGAATACTATGTGTCCATTTTACATTATGCAATTTTTCTCACGGTATTCAACCACCGGCTACTGGCGGGGGTGGACGAAGCGCGAAGTCATGAAATTAATGGGTAAATTGCAACAAATCCCCTTGTACTATACGGAATGTGCGCGTTACTACCCTGTGTTTTATAAAATGCACCAGACCCCCTTATATTTAACTACCCGATGCACATGCTCCCGTTTTTTAATTTCTCCATTAACGGCGTTAGTTTTTTATCAAAATCCCCGCTACCCTTTGATATTATATATATATATATATATATTTACGATAATTTGAATTTATTATGATATATTGAATATATCGCGAGAAATTAAATAAAAAATTGTTATCTCTGGGATTTAACCCTGAGACCTCATGGAAGCCAGACAAGCAATGAAACCACCACACTACTCAAGGTTGAATGCTAAATGTAGTAACGTCTAATATAAATCACATTACATATGGATAAATAAAATTAAATTTAGAAGATAATGTAAATTATATTAAATCACATTATTATAATATAAACTTATAATAAATTAAAATTTAATAAACTAAATTAGAAAAAATTGAACAAAAAAATAATTAAAATAACTTATTATATTAAAATACAAAATAACTAAAATAAAATATAAATAAATTTATAAAATTACAATTATATTGTAATAATAATTATTGTATTAATTTTATATTATTCTTATATATTTTTATATTTTAGTGTTTATTCAATTTATATTATTCCATATTATTTTTTGCATTATTCATTTAATTTATCTTAGTTAACAAACTTTATTTATTTTGATTAACTTCATACAATGAAAGAAAATTAAAATTTATTTTGATAAATAATACTAAGAAATTAAAATTACTTATTTACATTAGAATTATTTACTAAAAAATTATAACTTATATAATTTTTTTATTTATATTGTATCAAAGAGTAAACCATATTAAAATTATTTGATAAATAATATTTTTTATTTTATTATATTAAATTAATATGTATATTTACTTAATTTATTATTTCATAATAAATTATTATGCTTATTATTTACTTTAATTTATCATTTTTATACGTTATTTCTTTTTCAACTATTATTTTAATGTTACTTTAATTATTATATTTTAAATATATTTTAATTCAATTTTTTATTATTTTTTAATTTAAACTTTAAATAGTTAATTTATTTTAATAATTAAAATGTAAATTTATTTAAATTTAATTTCACGCTATTATATTATTTTTTTATATTAATATACTTTTTTATTATTTTATGTTAATTTAATTTATTGGAAGTTATTATTAGTATTAATTGTTTAATTTTGAGTAAATTGACCTTGTTGTTTTACTTTATTTACTTTATTTTAAAATATTTAATTCATTT